GGTGCGATATGTCATATGATGTATTTAACAATAGTATTATTAGCATTATAATAACAATGATGAGTCCGGTACAAACCGTGTGATATTACATTAATAATGATAATCATGTAAATTCAAAGAAAATACACTTTACACTTCAAGGAAAATGTCACCTATTAAAAAAAAAAATGTGTCGTGTGAAAAACAGAAAGGTCGTTTGTTTACATACACGGTGTCTCGAGAACAGACCGGAACGGACCGGTTCGATAGTGTTACCGTGCGGACGTCGACGCATTCGTTCGCGTCCCCTTTCTATTGATGGATGGTAGGGATGGGGTTTCACGGGGGTGTGCGTACCGCGGTCTAGTGGTTGATGAGAAAGATAAAAGCTCGGTCGGTGACAGACGTTTTGATAACAGCTGCCGCACGAGTCCGCATCATTATGTACCAGAAAAGCGCGGAGATGCTTCACAAACTTCTAACGAAAAAGGTTTTGCATATTAATTGGTATAATTATTCACCTTTTTATATTCGATTTTTACTGACAACGTATTTTAATTAAACGTATTTAATTAGTTTATTTTTATTTATTTTGCTATAGGAACAATTTGTTTGATGTATTATTATTATTATTATTAATTCAAGTATTTTTTTTTTGAATAGCTAATCAAATTTCACTTGCTTTTGAATTTAAATTGTTTTTGTTTCAAAAAATGTACTCATAGCGTAATATTTACTAGACTGATACTAACCATTCAAAATCTTATAAAATAAAATATAAATTATTTATACTTTGTCGTATAATTTGTGTTTTAAATACATTTGAGTGTATATTCCAAATATCAGATACTGAAACCGTATAGCATTTCATCTTGACTCGTATGTCAAATAAAAGCAAAAAATCGTACACTGTCCATTAGTTAATATATAATATGTTAAAACAATAAAATTCGAATAATTTAACAGTTGAACGGTCCATAAGTGCTGTCATCCATTATATTGTAACTTATTTGAACGACTTTCAAACATGTTATATATACATAATATAAATTATCTTTTTTTCAATAGAAAACTTATACTTCAGTAATGATATATTATAATTCTATCGGAAACATTAATAATAATCACACGGTGTAATCTTATTAGAAATCATAAGAAAAGCAACATTAAGTTAATTAACATTTGATCCTTAATATTATCTTCTATGTGTCACCTTACCTTTATAGCAAGCAAACCACACAAACCATAACATAACCAATAATGTATCGTTTAATATTTGTATTGTGTCTCTATAGGCAACCCGTACGACAGGTAGTCAACTATGTATTTTTTTCAAAAATAAAAGTTGTTCTCTCTCTATAAAAATGGATTTCTGTCTGCTTGTTTATCCTTTATGCATTCCTAAACGGCTGGACTGATTGTGACGATATTTGGTACAGAGATATATTACACCTATGGGCAGAAGATAAGCTAAGTTAAAAAGTGATAGACCTAACCCTGGAAGGTGTTCAAACAAACATTAGCGATTTACGATGAAGATTTTTGTTTATAGATGGTTGCTATTAGATTCAATAATTATAATAATTATTGCGAAAGAAATTATTATCCCTGAATTCAATTGAATACTTGATTTTTCAGGATTTTCTAGATAAAACGAACAAAATTACATAATGATAAACTAAATTGAATATCGTTGTAAAATTATTACGTAGTATATTTTAATCGTTATTTTTATATATTATAAAAATATACTGCTAGTATAATCACAGGTAACGAATGTAACACACAATTTGAGACATACAAGAGGCAGGATTATTAACGGGCGACAAAATGCACGGATTCAGCTATTTCGGAATATAATACAATTTGTAATTAATTAATGAATAATTCAAGAAATTTTATAATTTTAAAATAAATATATCTAGGAAGTAATTAAAATAACAGTATAAAGTAACAAAGGAAAGTAATTTGTATATCTATAAATTGACAGTATAAATTATGTTTATTTTAACATGGTAGGAAAATTATATTTTCCAACATTTAAATTCTTTGTAATAATAACATTTTATACTATGGTAAAATGTATGTTCACAATTTTTAAAAAATATGTAATGGTACATTTATTTACTTACACTCACACACACACACCAACAGCCCTCATAGCATTCTCAATCATATTGAACCATACTTTTTTTTTATCATTCACAAAATAATATTTTATTATATGGGATTTGTATACAAATTTGATAGGTAATTTACCAATGGTTTCTTTCGAAAACATTGTGATCAGGATATTTTAAGGTGAATCAAGTACTATAACAAAAGCCATATTCATTTATCAACAAATTGAAATTTTATTTACATAAAAATACAATAATTTATAAATATTTCCTAAAGTTTATTTAAAATTAATATTGTTTGTATGCTGGAGCGGCGTAAGATGGTTTGTAGGCTGGGGCGGGTGTAGAGTATCCGTAAGCTGGAGCTGGGGCGGGGGTAGAGTATCCGTAAGCTGGGGCGGGAGTGGAGTATCCGTATGCCGGAGCAGGGGTGGAGTATCCGTAGGCTGAGGCAGCAGGGTAAGATTCAGTTGAGTATGCTGGGGCAGATGGGTATGATGAGGCAGCTGGGTAGGCTGGTGCGGAGTAAGCTGGCTTGTAGGCTGGCTTGTAGGCTGGTGCAGAGTAAGCTGGAGCCGCTTGGTAAGCTGGCTTATAGGCTGGTGCAGAGTAAGCTGGAGCCGCTTGGTAGGCTGGCTTATAGGCTGGTGCAGAGTAAGCTGGAGCCGCTTGGTAGGCTGGGGCGGCTGAGTAAGCTGGGGCGGATGAGTAAGCTGGGGCGGATGAGTAAGCTGGGGCAGCTTGGTAGGCTGGGGCAGCTGAGTAGGCTGGGGCAGCTTGGTAGGCTGGGGCAGCTGGGTAGGCTGGGGCAACTGGGTAGGCTGGAGCAGCTGAAGCCTTGTATGCTGGTTTATAAGCTGGGGCGGAGCTGTAGGAGGGGGTTCCTTCTTTTTTTACTTCAGCGTTGAAACCGTTGTAGTCATCGGCGGTGTAATCAACGATTCTCTTGGTACCGTCAGGTTCGACTAAGCTGTAAGACCCCTTGACGTTACCGTTTCCGTCACTGTACTCGGATTGACTTTTGATGTCGTAAGTGGAGTCATCGTGCACGTTGTAGTCGAAGTTGTACGGAGCTGGGGCATATGAAGCTTCTGGAGCGTATGCCTTGGGTGCGGAGTATGAAGCGGGCTTGTAAGCGGGTGCTGGATAAGCGGACGGTCCTGGGTATGCGGAAGGTGCTGAGTAAGCGGAAGGTGCTGGGTACGCGGAAGGTGCTGGGTACGCGGACGGTGCCGGGTAGGCTGGGGCTACTGAACCGGCAAGTGCGGAAGCCAGCACACATGCGAAGACGGTGACAGACTGTAAAAAATTATGCATACATTTTAGAGTAAGTTCAAGTTGGTTTAATATATTCCACCGCAATAAATTGTGTTCGCCATAATAAAATATATATACTTCTATTATCGTACAACTTTTTACGCCAAGTTCACTGCTAGTATTGACTTTTAGAATCTTTGGAAAAATTAACTGATGATTAGTAGTTAAGTTTACGCGGAAACCATAGACTTTGTTAATGACGTGCGCGTAATAAGAAAACGAAAAAAATGTATGAAATTTACGAACATTACTCGTATATGTTTGAGAAACAACGAAATACATAATGTGAAACACTTCATCGTACCTACTTTTGTATACATATACTTGATATAAGGTGCGCATTTGATGCTTAAATATAGTTTAACAATAATAAAACGAATAATATTTGACGAGGATAGTTATACCGATGTTGTGATTAGAAAACAACTTCAAAGAGAGCGAACGTTCACGCTCGATTAAAATCAATTTCTAATGGATACGCGTACCATTACAATTTACGTATTACTGTAAACCGCCCGAGGATTAAGATTAAACGTTTTATTTAATAGCGCAGTGGAACACGAAAGAAATGTACGATGATATTTTAAGTCCAACGTGTCGATTGGTATTGGATTCACGGTTTAATCGATGTCGATAACGTCGTCCGTTTTTCCAAAAACACCCGAAAATCACGCAAACGAAATTATATACACGAACGGTCGAGAACGGTACGGAGGTTTTCGAGTTTAAATATCGCAGAGTATAATCGTGCTGGAGAACTCGTGATTTGCGTGCGAACAGTTTGTTCGGCACCGGCGACGCGTTAGAAAAAAAATAAATAAATAAATAAATAAATAAACGATAGACGAACAGCGGATAAAACGTTAACGCGGACCGAAACGCCGAATCGACACCGCGCGACGGAAACGCAACGCGAACGAACCGGTAAGCGGTGCGTGCGACATCACACAAATAACACTGCGGCTACTTACTGCGAACGCCATGGTGTGTGCGAGAGTTGTTGCGTTCAATGTGCTTTCGTCGGATGTGTGAAGTGCGCCGAAACCGAACGTTGAATGGGTAAAGTTGATCGACGACCAACCGCTTTATACGTTCATCCGAGGACCCCCGGGGACTGCCCGTTCACCGAGGGCGTATCCGCAACGTTCGACTCCGCTCACCCCCGGCCGAGAATCTCACCGGAACGGTAGTACCACCTATTACGTGCGCGACGCGCGATCATCGTTACGCGCGTATTCGGCCGTCCGTTCGCACGATGACGTCACACAATTTCGCCGTTTCGGGTGGACGTAGAACGGTTGCGGTGTTCGTTTCCTTTACCTTTTCGGTCCTCGTCTCTTACCCCCGTGCCCTAAGTTCTCGTTGGTTTTCGTGGGCACGTCCCGTTTCCGCCGAAAATCCGGTTCCCTGGTTCACGCATAGCCCTTTTCCGCAAAAAACGAAAAAACTATGATTCCCGATTCCACCAATTACTATTTTGTACAACTGTTACGTATTCTCATCGTTATAAATTTTAGCACAAGTAGATGATAATACTGTTATATTAGTCGGTTTTAGGCACAATTATACTAGAGTTTTTTAAAATATTACGCAATTGCTCATTATAATTTGTCCATTCTATTTAACTATTTCAAAGTATAAAACATGTGTAGATCAAATTTTGTCTCGATAAAGTTTTGAAAAAACACGTATCGTCATTTGTAAATATTTAAAAATATCACAAAAAACATAAATTATAATACGAGTATATGTCGAATAATGTGACATATAACCAAAAACATATTTAAAACCACCAAAAATCAACGTCGTTTTACCTCTTTTGCTTACAACAAATTCCAATTCAATAACGGTATTAAGTATTTAGTCTAATGATGAACAGAACAGATATTTAACCGAAATATAACATTTGTCGGATAATTATCGTGTGCGAATTACAAATAAACTATGGTACAGTATATGCTTCCTTCCGATATCGACGATTTTCGACAATTATCGGTGTATACATTACATTTTATACATAACACAACATATATTCTTAAAAAGTAAGACCAATGAGTTTCCAAACTTTTTTTGGCGGAAAAGGGCTATGGCGGAAACGGACAATATTATTTTGGCGTAAACGGGTAACTCCTCCTGGGCAATGCAGGGTCCGTACACGTGGGCATTTCCAAACGCGTGTAAAACCGCAACGCACGCAAAAGATACGTGGGATCACCATCGGTCCGAGATGGAGAACACATTTTTATTGGACGTCATTACGCGCACGCCGTTCGGTTCGCGTATCCGTGTAAAGTAATATCCACAAATTACTCGTCCCGCTGCGATTATGCTAATCGGAAGCATTACGTGTGTATATGTAAGAGTACGTGGATATTTTTAAACCAGTTACTACACATATACATGTAAATGTAAACGATCGATGAAAAAAACGTGATTTTAATAAATCATATTACGTATATTGTTTGTGTGCCTTCAACGTGGTCCAATCGGTACGTGTTCTATTTAATTTTTTCCGTACACGTGTATTTCATAGCCGTTATGATTTCATCCGTTCGGAAGTTGTCGTCTAGCTCTGCGACAAATACGATTATTAACGAAACGCGAAAACCTTGTGCCGGTCATCGACGGATTCTACTAGACTACCGCGTGCACAGCCGGTTATGGTTCGCGTTATATTTTCAAGGAATGAGTTGGTAAAAAGTATTCCGATCACGTATGATGTAGTACAAGCCTATCATTAACAACCTTGACTCTCGATAAGCGCATGAATTGTAAAAAAGTGTGCACGTAGTGAACGAAACGACCGTAAAATCACTCCAATATCGTAAATCATCTTTTAATTCATGTCATTCGCGAAATTATAAGCACGCACGTCACCGAGGATAATGTTCGTGCTCGATTTGAAAGCTATGAGGAATGGAATCCAACTTGTCCGTTTTAATTTAATTCATATTTTGCGGAAACAACGTTCCCAATTACCGCATTAATTATCGTGTACTACGGCTATAACGTCCGAGTAGCAATAACAAGTAAATTTTCTCTTCACATAATATAACGGTCGAAGAGAAAAAAATACTTCTATACATATTACATTAGTATTATATTATATGCATATTAAATCTCTCAACGGTTATGAAATAAAGTGCAGTTGCTTTAAAATATCTGTAGCACTACTTGAACTAAAACCAATTTAATAGAACTCAATTCGATCATTACAGCCATATAACTCGATGAAAATACATGAGTGTATTTAATTTTCTGATTTAAATATTTAATTTTGAAAACAATAACTTTTTGTTTTTATTTGCGTACTTTGTTGTATTTATCTAATTACCTATTATTAAATTCTATGTATAATGACTCTCGATGTTTAATCAAATGTTCAATGTTCATAATACGAAAAACACTGAAATCGGTTTCTTTTTCCACTGTACATTTGGCCAACATCCAACCAACATTATCTACAACTGCAGTTTACACAACGGTATTAGCAACAAAAAAAAATCTTAGGGAGTAAAATTATTTATTATTTGTTATTTTGACAAATAATTGAAAAGTTAATTAATAGTTGCATAATTTTATAACTTTACTGTAATGTTATATGTACATAGAAATTGGTGGTGTTAGTTAAAATACGTATCTTTCTCATTCCATCATTTTGTAATACCAATATATAATACGCTATGAAATGTATTACTGTGAAAAACATGAATGCAGTATAATATTATCACTATGGTTTTCTGAATAAAAACATAAATAATTAATTAAAACTGAACAGAAAACAAAATAACTAACTAGTTATAACTAGTTAATATTGTATAGTTATTTCTATAGAAATAATTGAATTGAAAATTCAACTCCAAAAATAAATCATACCATAGAGCGTGAAATCGTATATAATTATTCAATGTGTTAATTTTTCTATAAATAAATTTGCAATCGCTAATTTCTATATACTTATAATTTTTATCGATTTATTCACACATTTAATAGTGTATAATTCATGAATGAAATTTCAATCAGTGATTTTCATTGATAGCATAGAAAAATATAGTTTCATTATAATATTAATTAAAACACTAAGAAAATCATTAATCATATAGCTACGAAATTAAAAACTATTATAGGATAAATAACGAAAAAAAATTGAACCCATACTGCAATAATTCGTAATAAAGTTAATAAAAATATAGTTTAACAAAAGAATCACGTCAAAAGTATATAGGAAAACTAACTTTTCGTAAGTTCCGATGTTCCTTAACCGGATGCATCTTTGTTTAGACAGTTTTCAAGAGGAGGGGAGGTGAACCTATTTTAACTCAATAATTACTATTATAATACAAATAATGAATAAGTAGGTGCAATTAATTATTTAATAAAATCAATTTTTCATTTATTTTCAGCAAATTGATCGATAACACTAACTAAATTTATACTAATGTTTCTGTGCACATTCATTAATCCAACCCTGTCAATCTATTTTGCTCCATTTGATTCCTGAACAGAAATTTCAATCTAAAAATCATCAAGTAAAAAGCAAGGAATTAGAGGACAGTTGCACTAATATCCATCATTATTAAGCATTATCAAAATACAGCAAATATACTTTTAAAAACTTGAATAATCATGAAAAATAAAGACTTACTCATCATATTATTACTCTATAGATTATCTATAGTTCGTGGTATTCATTATGCACGTTATAACCAATACCATGGTTATAGTTTTCTATCTATAACCATTGTTTGTACTGTTATTTTTCATAATATATTATTGTTATCTGTTTTTCATTAATATTATTAAATTTTTTATCGCTGATTTTTTGTTTACAAATTTTTAAAAATTACTATAAGAGAGCGATTGTCTCTTCACCCCTCCCTCTCTTGGAAACGCGCCTGCCCTAAACACAACTTACCGGATTGCTCCCTATACATAGTTTATCGGTGGTCGTTAATTTCATACATTTTGAACCAACTTTTAAGTGCGTTAATCTTTGTATATTATTAAATTCTGTACACAATATGCAATTACACGTACACGCAAGTAGACAAACGTTTCAGAGATTTTCTGTGTTAGACGGTATAGATAACAATAAATTCATCATTCGACCTTGTCACTCTTATCATGACTAATCATCCATATTCGAATCATTTATTATATGTAATATGTAAAATTTTTTTTTATCTATTAAAAATTTCCGGGCGGTTTTATACATTATCCTCTGGAATTGAACGCAACTCGTTTGTTATTTTGGTCATTACGTGGATTATTTGCTCTTATGTTTTGTCGTCAATTGTGTGTGACGATTTGTCACTCGACATAAATATAGTCCTTGGAGTTATAAATAAATTAAAACTGGATAACGTTCCCAAACACATGCGGTGTTTTAGTAGCAAAGTCAAGCTCGATAAGCTTGAATCAACATTTTTTCCGTCGTCGAAGAGAAATGACAATTTGTTTTTATAAAATTCAAAAATTATGAAAATTATTTTTGCTATATTTAAATGTAATTTTAATAATAAAAAAAATTAAAATCATCGTTATATTGCATGTTAATTCGAGTTAATTATACGTAACAAATCAATTTTTCATTGTAAAAAATAAGATAAGCGTAATCAAATAATTCATAAGTTTTTGGTAAAAAAAAATTGGCATTCAAAACACTTCATTATTTTTTGAAGTTGTTATAATGAATAGATTCTAGTGAAATATAGCTTTTTATACGAATATAAATTGAAATGTTTTTATTTTTACTTTTTCAAATTATTTGTGAATTATTAAAGGTACAATTTATCGACAGTGTTATGTATAATTTCAATGTTTATACTTTCCAATAACAGTAAGTGTAAGTGTTATTGTTAACTTGCACCGATCAATAATTTATACTTTACAACAAATAAAACCTTCGTGGAACAGGTATTGTTTTATTCAAAATGCAACATTTATTGTACCCAAGAACATTCCGTAAGTGCCGGGAACACCAATAAAATATGTCAAACAAAGAAATTTTCAAAACATTTAAAAGAATAATGTATGTAGTTACCATGATTTTATCCTACCAAGACCGAGTTGGTACTACGAAAAGGTTAACAAAGTACACAATTAATTGAAAGTACATTGCCTTTGAAAAAATAATTTTCAAATGCACCTGTATTTACGATGTGGTATTATTTTAAACCGAATAGTTTTTTTAGTTTGAATTTTAGTGTATCATTATTTATGACATTTAAAAACATTATTTCGATTTTTTCGATACACTGACATAACATAAATCATTTCAAAACCTGTAACTAAATCATACGTGTTACTCATTTAATTAAACAAGATTTTTACCAAAATAAAATTCGATTACCATCTTGATCTCAATGAACGTTTTGTCGTATGCCGGAATATTAAATATATATTTATTAATATATACATCTAAATTCTATGCATAAATATTATATATTTTAATTATCGTAAATAGAATCTTTCGATTAAATTAGGTTATTCGTGTGTTTAATATTTTTTTATGTACCTATTTTAATTTACATAATTTTAATAAACAAAATTATGTCGAACTTTTTTATTTAACAGTATTTGGTTACTGCAAAGTTTTATCGATCCTCCGGGGTGGCTCACTGCTAAATGGTGGACCTATAAATAAGAAGTGATATAAATACAGTGAATTTGAGAATACATATTAATAGCTCAGAAAATTAACATTTCAGAAACATAAAAGCCAAGTCATACTTAGAATTTACATTACGTATAACTCAAACGTGAATTTAGTAAATATTTGATAAAATATCAAAATGTTATGATGAGTAAATTATTTCATTTTAACAATATTTTATTTAAATGTTTCGTAAAATAATAACCATAAACAGTAGAACAAACTGCCAAATTAAAACATTCGACAATTCATAGAAGATGCATAAAGTGGTTAGTTAATATTAATTTTAAAAAAATATGATCAATGACACGTTTTAGTTTTTAATTAGTTTAAATTTAATCGTATTGTAAATAGTTAAGTATGAAAAAAGTAATACGAGTATGACGTAACTTAAAATTAATACACTTTAATATGATGTAACGATATACACTCGCAATCAATATGACGTGGTTTCTTTTTTAGTCTTAATCACATGAAATATTGAAATATTGACATCTCAAATGTATCTTTATCACTTTACACTTTTAAGCAATATATATTTTACATGTGCATGTAAGTTAATTAAAATATATTAGTGTATATATATATATATATATATTAGTGTATATATATATATATGTGTGTGTGCGTGTGTGTGTGTTTGTGTGGGTTTGTGTGAGTTGTATTTAACTTGATATATGTTATTTGAATACATTTTTTTCAAAAGACGTTTATAAAAAGAAGAAAGAGTAAGTTTTCATTTTGAAACTCTAGACAAAACTGCGTTGTAAACCAAAAGTAGTACCTATATAGTAATTCAGTTGTTTGTAACGGTCAACCTCGTCTACATCGAAAGCCACTCGGAAACTTTCGATCGATTTAAACTTAATTCCCGGATGCAAACGATAATATTATTCATTGAATCGGTGATTAAACGATTTGAAATAATTTACCGCACAAAGACAAACTACAGTAGCCGACCAAACGGTGTGTATGAGACATACACAGTGACTATATATAATTCAAAGGAATCCCGTAACGGCTAAAGATACACCTGGCGATGACGCAGTATATCACGCGGAAAACCATTTATTTAAAAATGTTTTTCTTTTCTTAACTGTTTACAAAATGTAAATATCAAAAAATATTTGTAAACTAATACATTTAGAAAAAAAAATAACATTTTTCTGTTCTAATCGCAGATGTTTTTTCCTGAACTTTTATTTAAATTACGAGTAAATAAAAAAACACAAAACGAATCAAATTCAAAGCACAGTACAAGCAAAAAAAAAAAACCAGAAAAACAGCACTTATAAAGGACAAAAAAAAATATGCTGTGAAAAATTCGAAATCCGAAAACCTCGTTGCAAATGCATAGCTTAGAAAACTATTTTTTTTCGATATCCTACGACGATCAACGATCGTCACGATAAAGTAGAATCCGGGCTCCGGTCGTAATACTGTGACAATAGCCTATGCCACGTACACGGATCCTGCCAGAGATCACCGCTCAACTCTGTACGGACGCGAGTCCTGAAACTATATCATACTTACTAGTATTATGCACGTGTTGTCAACACGCGCTTTGCTTCTATAAATTATACGTATGTGGTAGACGTGGGCAATAATGTTTTCACTTTCGTGATTTTTTTTTTTTTTACATTTTTTTCGGACATTTACATTTCGCTCGACACATTTTCTAGTGTCAACGTCTCTCCGGATACGCGCATTAGGTTATTTTTATTTTTCCGCACAAAAACCTGTGTTCAAAGTATATGGATTCGCATCAATCACGCGCGTCATGCACTACGTTATTTCGACCGAGTGTTGGACTACGAAAACCACTTTACGAAATACGTCTGCCAGTTATTATTATTATTATTATTATCATCATCATCATCATCATCATTGCTATTATCTGCAGCGCTTTTGCCGGGGGTTTACCACCACCTTGTTAGCCGCGTAATGCAATCAATGTTCGTTTTAACGCGGGCCAATAGGTCATAATTATTGTGTACGAACGACTGTATTATAACGTACGGTCGAATGGGCGCACGAGGCGCAAATGCGTGTGAGCAACACAATATATGATATACGATATTGTATTATGATTATTATTATTCTCGGCTATTGAAATCGTATATGCATTATATATCTTATCGACGCGCACGCGCGCGTGTGCAGACCCGCGCGAATTCCGAGTCCTTGACCCTTTACTGCAACACGATAATTATACTATTACGGCGATCCTTTTTAGGTAACGATCAGTCAAATAATACACGTCTTGTTGTTGTACACGATAAGAACGGCGGACGGATCGAGGGAGCGTCGTGGGCATTTAAAAACCGCTGCACCAACGGCGTGTACCAGATCGAATCATTTAGACCGTAAGAGCAGGTTTTTTCGTTTCCGGCGCGCACCGGTGAACTGACAAGTGTACAGAATGTGAGCAAAACACTTAAACGGCCGTCTTATCGCTCTCGCGGAAACAATTAATCAAGTAATGTAAAGCCTCTTTTTGGAAACCCACTGTTCTTGCATAACGGATTTGTTTACTCGGTTTTTACCGCGACCGAAAAGTTATTACGAGTACATTTACATTCGTATCGTATTTTTTTGTTTTTGATCATGTTCTTCTTTTTTTTTTCCTACAAGAATTGCACATTGTCCGTAAATGATTAAATCGATTGGAGTTTCAACAAAATTTTCGGAAATTTCTTGGTTAATACCTGTGAAATTGCGAAAACACTCAGCAGCATGTCTCATTTAATTTGTTGAAAATTAAATATTAAAGGTTCTAGTTGTTACGAATTTCAACCGTTTTCAGTTACCACGTTTTGTTTTCAGCGTCAAAATATTTAAAAGAAAATGTGAAACGTCATTACACGTACCATCTGCAAATTGCTATCTGTTGCAGGAATTTATTTATTTTTTTAATTTAATATGATAATAAATATGTTTTGTGCTCAGTAACTTTACTATCTTAGTTTCTATATTCAGTCAGATTTCTTATATCATGGTGTTACGAGCAATTAAATAATTCACTTGAAGTAAACGTGCATATAATATAATATAATTAATTAAAACTGCTTTACCTAGTAGTTACACAAACATACGAATAATTACATAAAAATTAAAAAAAAAATATTTCACAATGTAAAAAATTCTATGGACTTTTTATGTATTATACATAAGATAAATAAAATTGAGAATTAACTAACGATTACGTAAGTGTTCGTAAAAATCTTAATTAAAAAAATAAAAAAATCACGTGGACATCATAAACTTCTGTTTGACGAGTAAAAAAAAGGTAAATAATAAAACAACAATTATTATTGTAATAATTTGACACACACCATTGTTCTAACGGGCGTTGCCCGATTGCGGCCCAAAGTAACTTTTTTACCTTTTCACCTATCCCGATTGCGGCCCGTACATAGCAGGTAGGAATTACTATTCAAGTGGTTATCAAAACCAAATAAATATCCCAATTGCGTCCGATACATACTTTGACATCGTAATCAACTATCGTAATCACGATTCACACAATAACCGATATTCGGCGTTGTAATTTCCATAGATGTATACAACAACTATTAACTATTTTTTTATTGTAGACAATTTATTATTTTAATATTCGACTATTTATTGACTATTTACTGACATAATTGTATTTCATATCTTTTTATATTGTAAAAAATTTATTATTTTACTATTTGTTACTGCAATCTTGTAATTATACTTTTAAAATAAATATTAAACATTTTGTGAATCAATGTGTGTCTGGACGCAATCGGGATACTTATATTTGGGATAAAATTCGACTACCTGGATTCGGGCCGCAATCGGGCAACTTCGGTTCTAACATCTTGAGAAAGGTCTTTAGATTTTCAACTTTGAGTTCATTACTAATCCTACCGATTTCGGGTTTTACCTAAATCAAGCGCTTTTTACACGTTACACCATAGCTAAGCACTAGTTGCATTTGACTTTTGGTTTTCATTTTCCCGGTAAAAATAATCTCACGATCACGTTCTACAGCCGTTTCTCGTTCTAAAAACGTATATTTTATAATATTTATCAAAATCCGACTGGAACAGATACCGATAACGATAACAATGGTACGCAAATACAAAATAATAAGTAATTTCTTTCGACCGTTACGTTATTCCATATCCTGCGCGTCGTATTGTTTTCCGTTCGAAACCGATGTCGATTGCAATCTCAGGTCCTGGTTACCTCGACGTTTCCGGTATCGAGCACCTTGAACCTCGGCAGCCGCAATTCGGTGTCGCGCTAACGACGATCGGAAAATCAACTACGAATTGTTCGCCATTGTGCCGCGTCGTTGTAAATATAACGCCGCAATACCTACGTCGTCGTGTGCACATAAAACGGGTGTCCTCGTTCACCGTTGCCTCTATTGTTTCGTCTCGACCCGTGTTGTGCGCGCCCAAGGAAAGTTCAGGGAGACAAAAAAAAACCCCCTTCGAATCGCACGTCGTCGTCGTCGGACGCGTATATCGTAACGATATTATAATGCGTTTCGACTAACAATGAGTTTCTCCCCCATCCCTCCCACCACAGCTCGGTAAGGTCTGCGGTGGTTCTTGTGAACGAGGAAATTCCGCTGAATGGAATAGTATTTGCGTACTATGTGAATGATAACACACCGGTACGCGCGTGCGTCGGCGAAGGACATTGACATTCTATACGTCTGTATGCGTGTGTTTACCCTTGCTTTTCGGGCACTAAAGTCCTTATCCTCGATTCGATATAATCACTAATTAATCGCAAATTGATTGCACTACAAGCCGACGAAGTTACTTTGATTATTGTTATTATTGTAATATTTCGTGCGCGTGCGATTACGATTATGTTTTTCGTTTTGTCCATATTTCATTCGTTTTACTATTTATACGGCCGCTGTCGTTTTAGTTTTCTACCGTTGCCGCTACTACATCGCATTATCACCGCGGACTCGCAGGACCTCGACCTTGACATTAGCACTTTTACCATTCATAATACACAGCCGCAATGTTATTATAATATAATCGCGGTCACAAGATTTTCCCGTGGCGATCACCGATTTGTTTAATCACCACAATACGAGTGGCCGACGTTTAAGATGTATCTGTTTAAACGTACAATGTTCACGCATTATACTATACCGTATGCGAATTATGCGAAGACCATAAATTCACGTCGACGCGTGCACGCGCGTGGTCGCGCTAATAACAGTTTTTTTACATTAATTAAATTTCACATCGTTTGACTCGGACGCAAAACAGTGTTTCCACTCGGAGCAATCGTAATGTACAAGATTTTGCGTGGTCCGTCAAAGATGCTCACGATTTGTTATTGAACATATTTTAATGATTATGAAAAAATATATGTTCTCGACACAGATATTTTTTGATTTTAATTTTTTCACTTTACCGTTAGGCGATAATAAATATTTAAAACTGATATGATAACCGTGCAATGACGTGAGACAATTTAAATACTTTTCAGGTAGAAAAATAACATTATTATTAATGTTTTATTATGAACGTTATTACTCAATCAATATGATGCAAAATGTAGTAGGCGATTGGAAACAATTACGGCATTATAAACATTTTATTATTATCGTTAATAAATTATATTTTAGTGTAAATTTTAAACTTAAAAATGTGTTCACTAAAATATCTTAAATTTTCTAAATCTAAATAATACTTAAACACAATTTTGTATTATCATACAATAGTATGATATAATTATGATTAACAAATAGTAAGAATTTGTATGTTCTGATTAAAAGTTAATCATTTTCAGAATTTAAATTGGTTTTATGCATAGTTAACAATTAAAATACAAAAACACAATGCATATAAATATTAAAAAGTAAATTATAACTTTTAAAAATGTATAATATCGTTCAATTTTAATCATATTATTATAGTTTGGTAATTTTATCAAGAAAGAGAAAAATAACGAGTAATGAATAACTTTTATGGTATATATACTGAATACAAAATACTTGTTTTTATAAACTTTAAAATATTGAATCTTACTACAAAAGTAGTTTTAGTTTAATGTATATTCTGACCTATCGTTCAATATTTAATTGTTACTTCGTACTGGAATTAGCATAAATATATGTAATATCAAAAAGATCATTTTAATGAGCCTTATTAAAAATATAATTTTTCATATGACTAGGGGTTACTAAGTTGTTCGTAGTATAATTTTTCTCGTTATCAAAGAGGGATGTTTTTAATGACTTTTAAAAACAATATTTATGAATTTCTATTTAGGAGAATAAATAAAAAATCATAATCTAAAGGTATATAAAAATACATTTTTATGTTATTTTAAAATACAGCATCTTACTGACGGTTATTATTATAATCGTATTAAAACACACAATACGTAGTTGGAACATTATAATGTGTACAAGTGTTTTAATATAATCGTAAAACAATTAATTATCGTGTGAAAAATGTAACGATCGTGTTGACACCGACCCCTATATGGTATGTAAGGTTAAACGATCCCGCGGAACAACCTTATTCAAACACCAACCCTTGTTCAACGTTTCTGTTCTGGGATATGTGTTTAAGGCAGGGCACTAAAACGTTTTTATAACGTAATGAGTATAACGTTAAACTATTCAAAAAACGATTGAAATCGATAACGGATTACACATCGGTAAACGATAAACGATTGAAAGTGGATAATGGATAACGAAACAGAAACGAAAAACGATTAAAATTAATATGGAATAACATAATGGAAAACGATTGAAACATAAAAGAAATTTCCATGGAAAAAAATGTATAACTATCGTCAGAGGTAATATATATATATATATATAATATAATATTTAAAATATTTAATGTTAGTTTACATAGTACTGATCGCTAAACGCTAAACGTAAAACGCTAAATTGTCAATAACGTTTTAATCGTCGATAACGGTAAACGGAAGATTTTTTAAACGTTTAAATTTGTGTAACGTTTAAACACCTAAATCGAATAACATTTAAATTATTTATAACGTTAAACGTTCAGTTGCTTATAACGTTTAAATGTCCCATATCGGTAAACAATATATATTATTTTGATTTAAGCCCTGGTCTAAGGCCATAATGGTATTATAATATTTATATATATATATATATATATATATGTATATTATCATATGTGAGAACTATCTCTCGGTATATAGGTTAAAGGTGATTATTTTGAAAACGATTTATGCAATTCGTTTTTACATCGGGACTGGTATAAGAAAATATGATTTCTTTTTGTACGTTTTCGACAGCATCATATATTAAAAAACCGTTGACGTAATGAACCGCATACCGAGTTCGACCGGATTTATTTATACCATCCATATTTTAACGTATCGACCATTTCGAAATGCAATGCTATTGAAATAAAATTGAAGTCGTATTACACATGCGATCGTCGCCTAAAGCTGCAGCGGTAGTACGCGATCTTCAAATAAAATGTA